TTTTTCATTGAGTTTTGCGCCTCCTTCAACGGATCGTCACACAGCTTTCGGACAGCGCGCAATTCTAAAATCGCGACGTTTTTAAAAAATTTTCGTAAAAGATCTCTGGCCTATAGAAGGTTTTTTTTTCGAGTTTTAGTAAAAACGAGAGTCTATGAATCTATGATATTATATCGATGTCCAACGAAGTAATAGCGGTTCTGTAAACTCGGTAAAGTTTTTTTTTTTTTTAAAACATTCTTCTGTGCTCAAGTTGCAACTTGTTTCTTTCAACAATCGTTCGTGCTCCGCCGCGTTTCCGCGCGTGAACTGTCCCGCGCGAGAAAGTATCATCGAAATCACGAGATAATTTTGACAGTAATTAACCACAATAATAAAAGCATATAAGCTATACAACTACCATTTCTGTATCTACAATATAGTTTTATGTGTATGTATATATATATATATATATATTTTTTTTCTTTCTTAAATTCTCTCCTTTTTTTTAAACAGTCTGTTTACTTTTTATAGACACTCCACTGTCTTTCTGAAAGGCTATCAAGAGGCTCGGTGCTTTTACGCTCGTTCAGGTATCAATCAGTGTCGCGTCGTCTGGTGAATTCGCTTCGACGTCGTCTTTCCAACCGATACGGGGGCTACTACTCCTCTTCTCTACCCGCTCGTGCCGATAAACCACCACTTCGCTTGCATCCCCCTCACGTGAATCTTCGCCTCCGCGAGCAGTCTGATTTCGACGCACGAAGATTCTTCCGCGACACGATGCGGGAAAGAGAGTGATACGACGCGTTCAAGCGATCGCACGTTTCCCCTATTTCGTAATTCGGCGCTCCCGCGTTCGTTTCCCAGAGATGGGACGCGACGGAACAGGCGGCAATGTTCTTCTTCACGGCACTCGTACAGCGACCATCGTCGTCATCGTCGTCATCATCATCATCATCATCATTATCATCATCATTATCGTCATCATCACGTGAAACGTGAACCGCGAAATTATCGGCGACCAGGTCGCGACGTCGCATCCCCGACAACGACGAGTCGTCGTCCGACTGCCGAGGCATCCGTGCGATAACTCGTTCCCTATCCATTACTGCAGGAGGCAACATTTACATTTAGGCTTCTTCTTCAATGTGACATGCTCGACCTGCGAAGCGTCGCCTGGTCCCTGCGCCGTCATTCTAGCCACTTCGACGGTAGCTGCTCTCGACGATGCGACAACCTGCAACATTTTTCATTTACACGTAACACTCGTCGAAATGGTCAATTTTTGATCAATTTATGATTTTTGTTACGTTTCTTTAGTGATTTAAATAATTTTTTCGTGAAGTGTATAAATGAAAGTTTGTGCATTCCAGTGTATTATAAAGTATTGTATTTCTTCTGCTTATTTATAAAGTATCTATTTCTTTTACTTTAATTTCTCTAGTGGAAATCTATATATATATATATAAAATTATTTATGATCTAATTTATTATCTATTATCTATATATCTATATATATAAATTATTATATATATATTATATATATATAAATAATTAATAGTATATATATAGATAATAAATTAGATAATAAATAATTATATATATATATATAATTTATATATATATATATATAGATAATAAATAATTTTATATATATATAATTATTATCTAATTTATTATATATATATATAAATAATTTAATAGTATATATATATATATATATATATATTCTCATCTATATATTTGAATTATGATTTAAATTATGACTCACATGTAGAATATTTTGATACGGTTTGTTCCAGTATTTTTAACCTAAATTTAGCTACGACGAGATTTTTCGCGAAGCTATACTTTTGCATAGCAAGGTCTGAAATTTTACATCCAGCGGTGCTTCACACTAATTACGCGATTATGTTAGAATAAATTAAAATTTCGAAATTGAAGAAAATTTAACAAATTCAGGTCTATTTCACAAAGGATTTCCTCTTCTCTCTTCGAGAAACAAGCCACTATAGTGACACTCGACTAAGCTAAGATATCAATTTAATAATTTTCATTTACTTGTTTCTATATAACAGTTTCTATATAACTAGAATGATCAACATAATCAATCTTTATAGATATGAAACAGTGTGTTTTTAGAGACGTAAGTGACTCCTCATAAAATACATAAATTAAAGTATTCTACCGCGTTGTGAAGATCTTCTGTTTCTTTTGCCTTAATGGAAATTTTACTCTTCGGTAGAGTTCGAGTGTTGACACAATTATTTTTCGGCGATCAGAAGTCAGGTGAGGGAAAGAATCGACAAGGTCACCTTATCATTGACAGGCTGCTGGCTGTTGGCTGCAGCTTTCATCGGGGTACCATGCGCATTTCCGTTTTCCTGGCCAGGCTTCGGCGACGAGCCGGCGTGTCGATTCGTCGAGTTGGCGGTGGATTTCAGCAACGGGCTGGAACTGGAGTCGTGATCGACGGCGGACTGCGCGTTGCTTGCATCGCATCCCGGCAACGGAGGACCCGTTTGTCCAGGTGTCGGTGTGATGGGCTTCCCGCCTTTGATCAATTCCACTATCTCGTCGGCTTCCCTCGAAAGATCGCCGTCTGGTCGAAACGGATTATCCCAGCCGCTGTCCGTACTGAAAAATTCATTTCTCCCATTAGTGGATCGCCGAGTCGCGTCGTAAACCCGGGCTAAACCAGGACTTCTCAAAGTGTCGGTCGTGTAATTGAACTTGGGGGTCGCAGAAATTTCAGCAAAATTAAGAAATTCCTGGACGCGTAACGCGACCGAAAATGAATTCAAAATCAAAGTTGACGCCAAAGAAATTACGCTTCCGAATAAATTTTATTTATGATTTATTGTCAACAAATTCGTATTCCTTTATATGCCTCTATATCAGTGGTTCTTAATTTTTTTGGCCGTGCCCCTTTGGACATCTCTAAAATGAAAACCCATTCCACTGTGACACTCTTATTATTCAAAAAGTGAATTTCTGACATAAAGATAGCCCTAAAATGTCATTAACTTCAAGGTATGGACAAGCGTCCAAAGAACGTGGCATTTATGAAAAAAAAAAAAAAATTAAAATTTAATTTTGTTAAAGGAAAGAAAAAAAATTAAATTTTAATTTAAATTAAAGGAAAGAAAAAAAAATTAATTTTAATTTAAATTAAAGAAAAGAAAAAAATTAAATTTCAATTTAAAGAAAAAATTCACTGTTAATAACTCATTCTCGAATTGCCCCCCTAGAAAATCAAATTGAGGCGTGGGACCCAAGGTTGGGAACCACGGCTCTATAGCCAGAGCCGCGAAAATATTTGCTCGGGTAAAGGGGATCGTCAAGTGGAAAAGTTCGAGAAGCCCCGAACTAGACGACGACGACGACGACGATCCAGATGCTAAATTACACCGAATCAACTCGTCGTCGCATAGCTAATCGTTTTCACGGTGGAACGAAAATATTCACTTCTGGAGACGGTTTCCTAGCCGTCTCGAGTTCCGCGATAACAAGCAAATAACACACTCGCATATATTTTTGTCTGTCAACCCTCCTTATGCAACGTCGCCGCAAATTAGCTTCAATTATAATCGCCACTGCTGGTTAACCGTGACATTGTCCATGGTATCGGATTGCACGATATAATTGCAGCCTATCTATCTTCCTGCCCCCCCCCCCTTTGCTCTTGCGCTCGTGTAACTGCAGACGTAAGCTCTACACGCGATCATCATTCTCGGTTTAGCGTTTCATCGATTTCACGATCTCTCCAACTTTTGTTTCCTCATCCGAGATTTTACAAGTGATTCAGTTGTCGATACTTTCGACAATAAGAACACAGATTTTTTGAATCCTTTTTAACACTTGATCGGCCGGCAATACATTGACGTGTTTCTCTTACCGACTGGCGGTAACCGGTTAAATTTGACAACGACTTTAATGCATTTTTTTCTCGACGATTCTCTGAAAATTTTGCCTTTTACGAGAAACACATTAATTTTCTTAGAAAAATCTTCTGAAATGCACCAAAATCTGTTGGTCTATAAATCTACACTTAAAATTTGCTTTAAAAGATTGTGAGAAAAATTTTAAGGTTAAGGTTTTAAAGAGAGAGAAAAAAAAAAAGATAAAAAGGAAGAATACCTAGCAAGTCACGATCGTACAGTGGAAAGGAGAAGGAGGAAAAAAGAACGAGAGAAGTAAAAGAGGGGTATTCGTTCGGTAAAATGGTTAGTAGGCTGAACGGAACCGTTGGACCACAGCCAACAGGACTAATAATGACCGATATTGCGAAACTGAGCGCTTCCCTTGCCGCCATTAATCTCCGCTGATTGCGTTCGATCTCGATCTGCGTTTGCCCGCAGTTCCGTTGTCGTGACACCGGCAACGCAAGAGAAGTGGATTTACATCGACGAGAAACGAAGCCTTACACATTGTTCGAACAGTATAAGAGGGAGAGCAGTGTTTGTCAGGTTATCAACAAGTTGACCACCACCGATCACAAACCAATCATCCATCCACTCCTCGTGCGTTCGAGCGTTCCTTTGAATTCAAACCCTCATGTAAACAGCTGGATTCGTCCGTCAAGATGATTTTTCTTTTTTCTTTTTTATTTAAAGCACGTCGTGCTTAACCTCTTGCGCTGGAATGACGTGTCACGAACGTCGATAATATTTGGCTCAAAATTGCAATGGTTTTTCTCAGTTTTAAGTATATTGAAATATAACCCAGGTAAAATAAATAAATAGATTTATTACTTCTTAGTAATTTCTATCCAGTGATATACCGATAAATTCAAAAAGAAGACGAGTTACTTGTACACGGTTTGGTCACTCGTTATGGTCCGCAATCAGCTGGTTAACCTCTTGCGTTGGAATGACGTGTCACGCACGTTGACAATATCTGATCGAAAATTGCAATATTTTCTCAGTTTTAAGTATACTGAAATACAATCCAGGCAAAACAAATAATAAATTTATTTACTTCTTAGTAATTTTTATCCAGTAACACACCGATGAGTTCAAAATGGAGACGAATTATTGTATATTTATGTTTTGGTCACTCGTTATGGTCCGCGAACCAGTTACTGGCGCAAGAGGTTAAGAACATTAAAAAACGTGAATTTGGCTAACGTACAGGGAGCGGGAGATCTTCGCTCAGCTCGAAGCGTGCAGCGTGAAATGATCGGCTTTATTTTTGAACTGTCGTTGACGCGCTACCTATGGCAACGTGTTGTTTGCAACAACTTAAACGTGTGTGACGCAGTATGTCTGCGACGTACAACGAAATCGTGCTTGGTTTTTAGTCTAAGCTACGTTGAAGAGAGTATTGCTTAGTTTTTAACCTAAAGTACATACTATCGAGAGACTATAAAGAGTATTTTTCTCTTGCAAAAGTTGCACGCAAGTTCCCGTGCTGTTTTGGTGCTACATGGTCGAGAGTGAACGAAACGATGATGGAACACGTCACGGTTTCTCGACCGGTTGATTCCAATTGCGCGAATCGAACGATACAACACCGGTACGATTTTTCAGGTTCGATTACCTTTCGTTGCCATCCGTCTCCTTGGGCACCTTGATCACGTAATACACGTGGCCTCCATGGGTGGTCGTCATTTTGCCCGCGATCGCGAATTCACGCCGCTCGATATCAACATCGGAGACCAGTTCACCAGATTTCCCGATATCTCGCGGCTAGTTATTACACCTGGACGCCGTAACGATCGCGATAACCACTCGCGGAACTGTCCATTGTGTGTCGGTTACTCTCCACTCGATCTCCTCCTCCTCGTCACTGGTCGACGACGTTTGCCCTACCGGTCCAGTAGCGAGTATTTCCTCGACCCTGTCACCGAGAGAACTCTTCAGTGATTTCGCACGGACCGACTCCGCCGATACCAACGCCGGCGCGTAACGCTTTATTTTTAAGCGGATTCGTGGCGGGAGATCGCAACCACCCGCCGCCGACTCTCTTCCTCACCCACGTTTCATCCTTCCTTCCTTCCCCTCTCCCTCCCCTCCCCACCCCTCCTAACAGTAGAAGCTTCTCCACCCCTCTCTTTTCACTTCCGTTTTCAAGACGCAACTCTCGCTGTTATTTCAAGAAAGTATCAATCGTTCGTCGGGTGTACTCGCGACGCCGCGAGAACGCCCGTTTCGATATTGCGAACGCGGGACGATAACTGTAACTCGATCCCCGGGATAAACTCGGGGATGACGAGATCTCTCGCGAACGAAGGCCTCGAAAACCAGAGAGTGTGTCACCGCGCCTTCTCCCCTTTCTCGTTCGAGGTGAAAAGAAAAATCTCGTGGAAAGAATAACAACAACGAAGGCCACTTGCTTTCCACTGACAGAACGACAAATTGATTCATTCGATACGGCTTCATCTTTGGCCACTTTGGCCACCGTTGAACGCGACGGTTTAATCGCGAACACCGCTGCCAGTGAACACGGAACGCTACTTTACCGGATGTAAGGAGCATAACAGTTAAATTTTTCCGTGCAACGTAAAGAATCCGTGGGAACAAATCGTACTTTAACACGTTTTATAATAATAAAGATTTATATTAAGAGTATCTATAAGTAATGTCGTTTTCTTGATATACTGTACAAAATTTTATTTTATTTGTTAATACAGTTTTAATTCATAATGTAATTTACCAATAAGCATACTGAATATCAATATATTTAACTAGAATATAGGTTATGTTATAATTAAGTTAGATTATTGTCACTAGATGACAATGTTTATTAAATTTACTCTTGGGTACCTCTAATAAAATTATTTAATAATGTAACTTTGTGTGAAATATTTCAAATTAACTGAATATCAATATATTTAACTAGAATATAGGTTATGTTATAATTAAGTTAGATTACTGTCACTGATGGCAATGTTTATTAAATTTAAAGAAAACGACATCTAATAAAATTGTTTAATAAAATAATTTTTGTACGAAATATTTCAAAATAACTGAATATCAATATATTTAACTAGAATAGGTTATGTTGTAATTAAGTTAAATTATTGTCACTGATGGCAATGTTTATTAAATTTAAAGAAAACGACATCTAATAAAATTGTATAATAAAATAATTTTGTACGAAATATTTCAAAATAACTGAATATCAATATATTTAACTAGAATATAGGTTATGTTATAATTAAGTTAGATTATTGTTACTAGATGGCAATGTTTATTAAATTTAAAGACGATGACATTGCTCGTGGGTACTTCTAATAAAATTGTTTAATGATATAATTTTGTACGAAATATTTCAAAACAGTAGACATGTAAACCTACGTCGCAAATTTTACAACGCAAACTTTAGCGACTTTCTCGTCTATCATTTTTGGGTCAATGCATTTTCTTGCTGCGTTTTCTCGAACACCACTACCGGTACAAATCGAAGGAAAATGCCTAGCAAACCGAGAGGATTTTTATCCAAAGACTCGGCAATAATTTTCACAAAATTGTCTCTGCGATACTTTTGTAAAATTTGTCTCGTCAACGTTAGGTGAAAGTCGGCGATCAAAGTGTCTTTCTTTGTTTCGAATTTATACAAGCTACATACACGTCCGATGTGTGAGAGAAAAACCTTTTACGCCATTCGATGGTTTTCCTTGTAGATTCGACATCACTTTTATCAACCGTTCCCATCGAATAATTACAGTCGCCTACGCATGCTGGTTTACGTATTATTTCTCGAGTTTTAAAATTCCTCTTGTTGGTGTTGACAGATTCAGCGGTGTAGAAAATAAACAGCGTAAAAACATCTCTTTTATCATACCTATCTAAAGTAGGTTGTCTGACGTTTGAAATTTAACATCACCTCTTTTTAAATTCCTATTATTCATTGTAGCCATGACCCTTCGATCTTGTTTCCCAGTACCACAAGTATTTATTTATTAGATTTTGATACAGTAGATTAAAAAGAACATAATTATGGACGACTATAGTATAGACTATAGTATAGACAATTACTGTATAGACTACAACAGCGAGCGTTCAACGATGGACGACTATATTCGTCGTTAGTATCGAAAGGATTGAACACCGAGGACCGACGCAGTTTCGTCGAGGATCGGGACGAAAACGCGTAAACCGTAAGGCTGTCCACATCGATCCGACTTGGTCGAAGCCGACCTATTTTCTCGCTACGGAGTCCTCGACCTATTTACACGCTACGGTTCCCGTGCTGTCTGTCGCCGTCCAACCCTCGCCACTCACAACCACAAGCGCTTTATAGTCCCATCGCGCGCGCCGCAAAGAGGAACCGCTCTTCTTCCTTTCGCGCGAAAATTACCTCGCGGAGTCGAGTCAATCACCATGATTTCTCTCATTCGTTCTCGATTCATTTTATCCATGTGCAAACCCCCTCCCCCCATAGGGACTGAGAAGTGAAGAATTCTTACCTTGGTTGGAAGGATGCACGCGTTAATCTTTTCGCTATTAACAGTGACTATAGTCAACTCAATGTCTGACGTTCATTGTAAACTGCCGATGATACTATATTGTATACTACCAGTGACTGTATTCAACGTATCCGACGTTTGCTCATTGGGTCACCTAACGTTTCATGCTTGCTGTGTACTGCTGGTCAATAAATTCTTACTTCTTAAATTCTTGGATAATATTTTCTCGATTTACAATGAAAAAACTACATGATCCAGTTAAAAAGAGATAAAAATGACTTGAGAAATTTCGAAACCGACGCCATGTTTTGCATCCCTTAAAACCATACAATTTTTCATTCGACGCACGATTTAAAAGTTATTTCAGGTGTGCCAGTTACGTGAATCACCCTGTATAATAAAGTTGCTTTAATCTCTATCCTCGTTCTACGCTGCTTTTACAAAAAGGCGGCCACGAAATGTAGTATAGCATTAACCGGCCTGTTTAGTGTTAACTTTGGTAGAAATGAACGCGTACAGACAGGTTAGGATTGCTCTGTACCGCGGCAGGACTACCACCATCGCAGCGAAAAGATTTAGGTTAGGTTGTCCAACGCAACCGACAAGGAACGACGGGTCGTCCCGTAAAAATATCCTCTCATCCTTCGATCGGCTCCCATCGGCCAATATAATCGCTCGGCGATATGTATCTTTTGCCTGCCAACTTTATAAATACCCACGAGTTCGATGCGCTCCGAACTAAATATACCTGCGTACTTAGTTCCCTCCCTGGAAGAGAAATTGCACGGTGCGCGTGGTGAACGACGATTTCGAGTCACGAGTCTTATTCTAGTCTTTACTCGAGTCTTCGAAATCGTCCGCGGGCCCCGACGATCGAATCGTTTAACGCTAGAACTAAGAGCGGACAAAGATCGTATCGAAGAAATTAGAAAACGCATGATAAATAGCAAAGTTTATAATTTACAACGAAGAACAGAAACTTCTCATTCGTGTACTTTATAAAAATTATAAAAATATAACTGTTGTAAATCTGAAGCGGTATCGTACTTTGAACAATTATACATTATAAACACTTTGGTAGTTCTAGTTTTAAATAGCCAAACGAGCAAAAGATAGTCCGGCTAATACGGCAGAGTTTGTCCGTAGAGGGAAAAATTTGTTGTTTCGAGCGGTGACATTTGTGTGCACGTCTGCTCGGTTGCTAGCGAAATTGGATCGATTCGGTCGATCGGTTCAACAGCTAAAGAGCAAAAACGTGGCGACTGTGAATTAAACGTCCGGCTGGAAGCAATTTGCTGGGGAAAATTTGTTATTTCGAGCGGTGATATTTGTGTGCGTGCGTCGTCAGTTTGCCCCCCCCCCCCCTCCCCGGTTGCTGGCGAAACCAGCGATGGGGGTTGGCTAGGGGTGACGCGACGAGGGCGAGTAGTATAGTATATATGGGTCATGGCTAGCCGCGTAGTTGTCGCGCGCGCTGTTTTCCGCTCGCTATCCACTTTGCTATGCTCCTCCTCCTACTGTCTCTCTCTTACGCGTTTATGCTGGCTATCTATGCCTACCTACCTAACCTCTTAGCTGCGGTGCCGCTTTTAAAATACTGTGTATCCACGTTCTGTTGCTAGAACAACGCGATGACGATTATACTCGTCGAACGCGAAACACCACTTTAAAACCTGAATTACGTTATAAGGAAACAACAAGAATATAGTTTCTAGTAATAGCAATGTTTAATGTATAGTTTTCTTTTTTTGAAGTCAATTTTATTGCTCAACTTAATCAATTAATATTAATATTATTCAATAGCAAGAAAATTAATTAATATCAAGAACAAGAAAATATTTATAAATGATGTAAAATAAAACTTGTCAAGTCTAAAATTTAAAGACAATTACGTTTCATTTCTTATATTGTATCCATATTTATTTCCCACGAAAGATTTCATTTGAGTAACAAATTGTAATTGTTCTCTTCTATGACGAGTATACTCGTCACTTACAACTAAGAGGCTAAGCAGCTATAATATTTGCTCTAGAACATCGGACGCCACCCTCTCGTTTCTCGACGCGCGACGCACGACGCCGGATCGCGCGTTTCTTTATTTCTCCAATTTACGACTCTCGCGCGAGGAAGCGAAACAAATAAATTACAAGGTCACCCCATTCGCCTGGCTGTTCCCTCGTAACGAAAACTACAGCTGTAACAAGCGTCGACGTTGGAAAATTACGATCGCTCGAAAAAGATCATCGATAATTGTATCAAGATCCCCCAAGATTGGCCACTATTATTCTAATTTTTACAAAAATTATACTAAAAAAAGTGTACATATTTCGCAGTCTGTACGTGATCATTTATAAAGTAAAAAATATCATTTTAGAATTGTCATCATTTATAGAATATCAAGTATAAAAATGTAAATATATTTTATACTCTAATTATTGCAAAAATTATGCTAAAAAAATGTAAATATTTCGCACACTAAATATGATCATTTTTAAGTAGAGTATAAAAATGGAAATGTACTTCATACTCTAATTATTGAAAAAATTATACTAAAAGAATCCACATAAATACTTTGCACGCGTGCAAAATAGACACATTAGCAAACAAAAATAATAAAAAAAAAAAAAAACTCGATTTATCGAAGAAAATCATCGAAACTGACCGAGGCTGTCGCGTGATCTATCGCAATAATTTTCTCCCCCGTTCTACCCCGTTTCAGCCCCAATATGTCGGTCTCTCTTCGAGGAAATCGAACCGCTTTCGGTCAATTGGGTCACGTTCCCCCCGTGATTGGCTTCCCTTTAACGAGCATCGGTTTAACCCATTGTCTCGACCCTCGCATTCGAGATCGTCTCGCCGCGTACGCGACAAGTCACGAGAAGAAAGCAATCCTCTAAAATTTCCAAAGACGAGAAACAAAGATTGGGTCGCGGGTTCGTTCAGAGGCTTTGAATGGCCGAGACGTCGGAGGGTCGGGGGATCTCGTTCTTTTTCTGCGAGTTTAGAACGCGAAAGAAAAAAAAATGGGGGAAGAAAGAGGCGTCCAACTGCGGGGGATGCGTGCAACTGCGCCATCGCGTAACACGACTGGCTGCGGTCGCCTTTTCCGCGACTGCGTCGACGCCTATGTGCTCGTGTCGGGGCCAGGAAAATTCAGCCGTAGGAGAACGTAACACAGGGGGAAGGAGGAACGCGAGAAAAAACGCGCACGTTAAACGCCAAGCGTGAACGAGCCGCTAATAAACAGACCATGTAGGCCAGTGTGTTGGTCGGCGGTAACGACGCCACCAACGTGTACCAATTGATTTCCTACGCGACGACCGAGGGGCACCGGATTCGTTCGATTCGTTTCAAATACATCTCCCGACTGCTTTCGTAAAAAAAGATGAACGCGTTCCATGACCAATCTGTGCGGTCCCATCGTTGTAAATTCGTTGTGAAATCGTTTACGAACGTTCCAACTGTCTTCCGGAGTGGAGAGACTGGCTGAACTCCGAATGGACCTTCCCGTCGCGTTGTAAACTTTTTTGTTCACTTCGCGTTTCTCCCCCTTCGAAGCTAACCACCAATTTATTCTAAGCCTAGATATATTTCTCGTTAATGAAATGATCCTCCTCGATTACGCTGCTCTCGACAGGTCAGTTTTCTTTTTTTTCTTTTTTTTCTTCGAATTCTATTAACTGGGGCTCGCTTCTCTTTTCAAGGAATCCAGAGAAGTCACGAAATTACGTGGTCAGTTTCTTCCGTTTCTAAATAAGTTTCGCGGTTACGGGAATTTCGAGCTACGTCCACGAGCTTCCCCACTCAAATTGCATCAATGAATGGCGAAGGTGAACCTGCGATGATATAATGTACGTATCGGTTGCATTGTGACGTACAATACTCCGTCTCAAAGACTGTCGATCATTGAGATCGGATGGAGGCTCGAGGCTACTCGAGGTATTCGATCAAAAAAGGGTCAAACTTCACGTTCGGATGACGCGATCGAAGAGACGGAAGACACGGTGACACATTCCGACGGTTGTAACGCAGGTAATTCGCACCGTCATCGTGCGAAAATCGAAAGGAAGCCTTTGATGGCCTTCCTCGAGGAGGAGGCTCGCGCGTGACAAGACGGATCACGGCGACAATCACCAGGGACGATGATCCCCATCGACGGAGGTCCGCGATGCATTCGGGTGTACGCCAAACCACCGCAGCACACTGCCACCACTACTACCACCACCACCACCACCACCACTACCACCACCACGGACAGAAGGAGAAGAAACGAGCGGTTGCACTGGTAATCGGACGATCGCGAGCACGGTTGTTCGTTGATGCAGCCCGACAGTACAACTGGCGGCTGTCCTACCGCACCTCTGCACATCCACCCACGCTATATCGATCGTCCCTCCTCTCTCGCGCTCCTCTTCCCTCTTCCCGTTTCCTCATCGCCCGTCCTCGCCCCTCCTCGCTCGTTCTTCTTCCGCCAGTGTACGCTAGTACCTGGTATTCCTCGTGGTGGCGGTACTGTTAATAGTACCATTTGACGATGCTGTTTGCACTCGCGTTCACTACTGTGCCAGCCACGCTGCTTCTTTCGTACGTGTGTACTGGAGAGACTTGGCAGCAATTGGTCAGGTACGACCGAGTAAAAAGTCCTCTGGTAAAGTTCTTTGGCCAAGGACGAGGTACAAATCGGCGAGAGGATATACTTCGGACGAATGACGTAACTCGGACAGAACTGTAATAACTTTGAAATTCTGACGGAGAATTTTTTTTTAAATACGAAAGTTGTATGGGGGTTTTTAAAAGAGGTGAAACATGGTGTCGAGAGGAAATTTCCTAGGTCATCTTTGTTTTTGTTTTTTTTTTTTTCCATTGTGAATCGAGAGAACATTAAATTCCAAGTAAAAAGAGTACTAAGCCACGTTGGTCCTAAAATCTAACGGTTAACACTAGAACTACCAAAGATTAGAAAAATTGTAATTTTCTATGGAAATTTTATATTATTTATGACAGTTTTATTTTTAGACACTGGAGTGATTTTTAATAAAATGATTAATTTATAAGTTTGTATGGAATGTTTGTATATTTATGATGCAGTATATTTTTAGATACTTGAGTGATTTTTAATGAAATATATTTTAATAAAATGACCAATTTATAATTTTCTATGGAAATTTTGTATATTTATGATACAGTATACTTTTAAACACTCGAGTGATTTTTAATGAAATATATTTTAATAAAATGCCCAATCTATAATTTTCTATGGAAATTTTATATTATTTATGACAGTTTTATTTTTAAACAATTGAGTGATTTTTAATGAAATATATTAACAGAAGCCTGTGCTCTTTATTGTATTAACTTTTTCTTGTATCTTACACTTTAATTTCTTTGCCACGAATATTATACTTTAGTGTTAAAGAGATCATTTGAGACCATTTGCTTGCAATAATAATTCATAAACACAAGTGACCTTATCTTCATCTATATTTGATCCTTAAAATGACGTCCACTAACATTATTTTGCAATTACTAACATTAATACAATTTATACAATTATGTCACAATTAATGAATGACGAAAAAAATACATGATCTAATTGAAAGAAAATAAAGACCACTTCAACACACAACAAAAAATTAATACGTTATATTTTGTCTTTCTTCAAATGACACAACAATTGGGCGCGTAATTTCGTGAGTTATTTCAAGTATGCAAGTTATGTAATTCTCAATATGTTTTCCAAGTGGTTTTCCAGGTCTTGCTCGATTAAAAGTTTTGCAAAATTGCATAGCATATTTTCAATACACTCTTGCGACGTGACAACGTCACAATGGCCAAACCGTACATCGCTTTTCAATTAAACGGACTCGTTGGACTACTTGCCGTATCGTCGCTGGTTTTCTCCTCTTATCGGATTGCGTGTCGCGCGCGAGACGTCCGAAAGGAAGTTCGAACTTTCCGACTGACCTTTCGACTCTCGTCGACGAGCAAATTTCGTCGATGAGCTCGAGTCGTAAGATTCGGATACTTTTTTTTTGTTTTTTTTGCAGGTTTTATATGTTGCATCGACATCGAGGTCATTAAAGACTAGGTGCTTATATGGTATACTTTTTATTTTATATGCTTTATATATTTTATTACTTTATATACTATTTTACTTATATTACTTTATATACTATTTTACTTATATTACTGTATATTACTTTATATACTATTTATGTTTAAGTATATTTAAATTGCAACATTTTCTCAGTTTTAAGTATATTTAAATTGCAACATTTTCTCAGTTTTAAGTACATTTAAATTGCAACATTTTCTCAGTTTTAAGTATATTTAAATTGCAACATTTTCTCAGTTTCAAGTATATTTAAATTGCAACATTTTCTCAGTTTCAAGTATATTTAAATTGCAACATTTTCTCAGTTTTAAGAATATTTAAATTGCAACATTTTCTCAGTTTCAAGTATATTTTTAAATTGCAACATTTTCTCAGTTTCAAGTATATTTAAATTGCAACATTTTCTCAGTTTCAAGTACATTTAAATGTAAGGCAAAACAAATATATAAGTTACTTCTTGATAATTTCTATCCAGTGATACACCGACGAGATCAAAAGAGAAAGAAAGCGACGATTTATTGTATACGGTTCGGTCACTCGTTACGGTCCGCAATCAGTTGCCAGCGCCAAGGGGGTTAAAAACCAGCCAGTTCTCCTTCGGTAGAGAAGTCGGGACACTCTACGCAGAGCGTTACACAATTGGTCGCGGCGTAGTGCATGCATACTACTGACAATAAGCGACATGACTGGCGGAGCAAGCCCAACAATAGTCGAGGAAATTGGGATGACGGAACGTGGACAGAGCGTTCGGCTGTGTTGCAAACGCGCGCGCTCCGGAAAATGTTTCCTCGTTGGCCGCGTGGCTTGCACTTTCGACGTCGGTGTGCGACGACGAATACGCAATTACGCGGATGACAATATACCGCGTGACACCGGCAACGAGTTACGTAAACGCGCGGACAGAGAGGAGTCTCGCCTGCAAACCAGAAACCAAAGATTTTCCGTTGGTTACCTGTCTGCTGTTCGTGCAAATTATATCGTCTCTCCGTCGTCATCGTGTGTAATTGCAATTACAATTCTAGAAGAATTTACAGGCTCAGCCAATTACGCAGGTACGACGAACGCGTAACAGGTTTCGAAAATATTCGAGCGAACGTGGGAGACGCATCATCGTGTCTGTCGAGAGAACACTTGTTGAACGAGCGGAGCGGTGAACAACTTTTGCAACTTCGTGGCACCTTTCGTGGATGCCTCCTGGTTCACTTCCGGTACACTCAACGAGCGCGTTCTCGCGAGTTGCGTAAGGGGGGATCGCGTTATTTAAAGACGAGACACAACGCTTGCAACGTGTTGCACCTGGGACGTTGTACTCCGACTGTTGCGTATCGATCTTGCAGATTCTACCTTCGTTTGCGGTTTTCTTTTTGAAAATTCTCTTCTCGATCAAACGTACACAGTTGAAATGAAACAGAATTTGAAATGTGTTCGTGGAGAAAAGGGAACGATAAATCGACAATCAGACGAGAAATAATTTAAAACGAAACTGAATGTTCGGGAAGAAAGAGGAGAGGGGCTGGATCGATCGTTTTATACACTGCTCACAGAAATTAGTTGCTTTTCCAATGTTCTTGTTTAATAAAAAAAAAATCAAATGCTTCTTTTCTTTATCGCTTCATATTCATTTTGAAATATCCCCTAATTTTTGTGAGCAGTATAGTATAAAATCGCGTGGTAATAAAGAAGGCACGAGTGAATGCATAACGATGCGACACGACTGATCGTGTAACACGTATTACATGATCAATTATGTATATACGTACAATGAATATATCGAGACATAGAGATAGAAAGAAAGAGAAAGAGAGAGAAAGAGAATTTGATTCTGCTTAAAATATTCAATATGAATATCCCAATATTCATCCCTATAATTAATGTAAATAATATTATTAATAAAAATAAAAAGATTATATTTATTTATTTATTATATTATAATAATTATAATTATAATTTTTAAATTATATTAAATTAAAATTATTATATTATCATATTAAATATAATTATAATATAGTATATCATAATATTAAAATATAATATAATTATATTTATTATATAAAAGAGAACTTATATATTTTATAAATATAAAATTATAGGGATTAATAAAGTAATGTCAATATCAAAAGTTAAAGATAATAAAATCCAATTTAAAAAAAGTCGTATTGAAAATGGTGATGTAAATGTGGAAATTGGGTTAAATCCACGTTTAACTGGAATCTTTTTTTTCCTAGATTAATTTTTTCACTCATTGATAAAATTTTATTTGAATTAAAAATAATTATTAACTGCGCAACAGTGGCAAAGAAAACTTGTAAATTGGCGGCGGTGCTTGTAAACTGGTAGGTTCGACGGAGAAAGAACGGGCAAAATTGGAGAGTTCGAGGGGGGCGACGTCACTTCCGGTCGATTAAGAGCGACACGGGGGTCACTGGTGTCGTACGCAGGGAGCTAATTACAAGAAATATAGTGGTTCTCGTTCGATCGCCCGTGCATCCAGATTTCTCGGCGATTCTTTCGAATTTAACGGGAGAACGAGCCAGCTTGCCACACGCAAAGAAACAAACGTGTAGTCGTTTCATACACCGAGGAGTGTAACTGTACCAATGACAATGAAAAATTGTCGACATTACACACGTTTGACACGACTTCGTAAAAAATAAAGATCGCATGATGATCCGCTTGGTCTTTATTTTAAAACCAGCGAAACCTTTGTTGCAAGTTTGTTCTTTTTTTTTAAAGATGATTTTACATCGAGCAGTGATGTGCAGAACTACTTGATACTTCTTTTCTAAAAAATTGTAAAAATTCAAACGAGTGAAAACAAAAAAAGTTAAAAAATAAATGCAATGTAATTAATTAATATTAATACAATAATATAATAATATATATATATATATACATATTAAGTTACATTATTATATTATATTATATATATAATAATTATATTGATAATAATATAATAATACAATAATATAATTGTATTATTATATTAAGCTATATTATTATATTATCATTAATATAATTAATATTTATAATATAATATATCTCAATATGTGTATATATATATATATATATATATATATATATATATACACACTACATTATTATATTAATA